TGTTTAACATTAGCGGTCTTTCAATCTTATTATTGACTATAATAAAATATTTTTTCATTAAGTATTTTTCGAGTTATAAGGCTCGAAAGTTACAGTACAGTCGGCATTAGCATTACGCAAGTTGTCCGACTAACGGCTCTTGAATGTTGTTCAGGATCATGTTCTGGATAACATTTGTCAAGCTCAAGGCCATTGGAGATTATTCTTATTTTCATTTTTGCACTAAAAATTCATTTTTACGTAAAAATGAAAATAAGAGGTACAATCACCAATGGCCTTGATCTTGACAAATGTTATCCAGGACATGATCCTGAATAATTGACTGTGATTGGTCAATTTTTTACTTTTACTTCTTAAACCAAGCTTATTTCGCATATTGGGTGCATTCAGTACTATAACAGGTCACTGAGCGCTCGGTAAGCTCTTGAATTTGTTTGGTCTATATTTTTAGTTCTAACGGAATATGCCAATCAGCTAAAAGAGCTCACTGAATGCACCCATTGAATGGAGCCAACATCTGTGCGAGAGGAAAAACTATAGAGTCCCAAATGTTCGTAATGCGGATGCGCAGCACCGTCATCTGTGTGAATTGGACAGTGTAGTATTTCTTAAGCTGGTTCTACATTGATCGCATCGCAGCGTCGCAAGCATTGCAGTCCAATCAGAGTTGAGCTAGCTTGAGGTTGATTGGACCGCAACGTTTGTGACGTTGCAATGCGACTAATGTAGAACCACAGCTTAAGAAATACTACAACTGTCCAATTCACACAGACGACGATGCTGCGCATGCGAACATTTGGGACTCGTTACCTTCCTCTCTCGCACAGATGTTGCGTATATACTTCACCTCAGTATACGAAGCATAGGCAATTCCTCTTCCAGTAGTATATGTTCTAAGATTCAGAACGATAATCAATCATGGAGGTAAAATTTATCTTCATCACCCATTTTTCACCAATCATGCTCAATGTAAAGTGCCGATGCAGAAAAAACCTGAGTTCAGTCGGAGTAAAGAACAGTGATGTGCAACTTAGTTGGTATTTTAAGGAATAGTCAAATGTACATATTTATTTTCGATCGATGTTAACTTGTAAAATAATAGGGTGCATTCAGAACAGACAACCGCTCACTAAACACTCGGTGAGCCCTTTCTGAGCGCTCAGTGAGTTTTTTCATCTGATTGGTCTATATTTTAGGATCAACTGGGATATGCCTAATCAGATGAAAGGGCGTTTAGTGAGCGGTTGTCTGTTCTGAATGCATCCTATTATTTTACAAGTTAATGTTGATCGAAAATAAATATGTACATTTGGTTATTCCTTAAAATACCAACTAAGTTGCGCATCACTGTTCTTTACTCCGACTGAACTCAGGTTTTTTCTGCGTCGGCACTTTAACATTGAGCATGATTGGTGAAAAATGCGTGATGAAGATAAATTTTACCTCCATGATTGGTAAACACTAAAGTCCTAGATATCAGAGAAGTGCAACCGGTGTTCCGCATTCTGATTCGCTGTTACAGTCACGTGGCTTGGCAGCCATTTATAATACTAGTGACATACTTCTATTTCATTTTATCCTACAATTCTATCTCACATTATCTTACACGTTCTATCCTAGGCAAATGAAAGTTTTATGTTACCATTTTTTATGCGTAAGTTTAAACATTTTAATTGCATATAATGATACATATGTGCTTTGGCACATAAGATTATTGTTTAATCTTTTAAAATATTATTTACATAGGCTGCTTTCCTTTTAGGAGACACAAATCGACACAGTATAACACTCAAACACAGTTTGTCACACATACTCTGACTCTCCTCTCGAGCAGAGGCGAAGTGTGTCGAGTTTGGTAAAAAATTGTAAATGGAAAAAATTAAAATATTTAATAAG